TTCACGTCAAATGAAAAAACAACCCCTGGCAGTTCTCGCTTCACTTGTAATAGTGGCAAAATCACGGCTCAAGCGCAGCTACCTCAGTAAATCATGTTTAAAAGGAAGACAGCCATTTGACCAGTTCTCATTTAAAAAAATGTGGCAAATAGTTGCGGACGAAAATACCCTACAACCGTTCTATTGCTGGTTTTCAGTGTCACGCCATTCAAAATAGATCAAAATAAAAATCTAAACCGTTCAACGGATAAAGTCCAGAATCTGGGAAGGGCGTGTGCGAGTGTGCGGGATTATCGTATATAACGTTAGTATGACTTAATAGGTACCAGGCCTTGCAGAGAACCGTCCATCAGTGTTGCGCGGCGACATAATCTATGCTTACGAGCATGGTATACGTCAACAACGTTATGAAGGGATTGTACATAAAGTTCAGTTGCTGAATGTGAAACTTGGCTTTGACATAAAAAAGTAAGTAATTGAATTGCTTGGTCAATATTTCGATACATAAATTAAGGTTTCATTTTAGCTTCGTTTTGTCGTCAAGAACGCAACATAATGTTCGACCAGGTATTTTATCCGGCTTCTACCCGTTATTAGTATAAATCTACTAGCGTTCTATCACGGATGCCGTTCTCTGATTGGCTACGCTACTCACTATCTATTCTGTGATAGATGATGAGTAGCGTAGCATCGTGCCCTTGTTAACAAAATAACGGCCGCTTCTTGGCGTTTTCGAAGTGTCTGTGAAGAGGATTTAGATAAAGTTTTGAGCGACTAGTAGATTCATACTAAAACAATTAGATAGTTGACGAGGACGCAGCCCGAGTCAACTATCGGGCGATAGAAATCTCGAGCTCATGATCTAATTGTTTAATATCACACGTGTAACCATGTTTAAAATGTTGGTGTGTATGTGGGTGTATTTTCAACAGAATGCCATACGTGAGAGGGAAGAAGTTCGACATCCAGTTCACTTATAATCGGCTCACAGTGAAAATGGAACACCGTGCATGTGAGCGGATTGCATCAGTGACCAGGCCGGAAATGCGACAAGTTCTTTTCCCTCAACAAGAGAGTCTGGTTCAAAGAGGAGAGATTGACAGCCAAATCAGGTAAGTGATTGTTCAAGAAAAATTTACCCCCTGAAATTGAAGGCTTCAGATTAATGTGAGAAGCATTGATTGCGTAACGAGGCGTGTCAGAGATTTCATGATATGGTTAAATCGAAATTTATATTTTAGATCTTTCTACGATCGTAATCTGAACGGTGAACAGCAGCAGGCAGTACAGAAGATTTTGTCAGGGTCGTCACGCCCTGCTCCGTACCTGGTGTTTGGGCCTCCTGGAACAGGAAAGACTGTTACCTTGGTAGAAGCTATCAAACAGGTCAGAATTTTTCTTGGTGGTTTTCTCATGATCATTTCTTCTCCGACAAAATTGATTAGGTGGTGCAAGGTCTGAGCTTCTTGCCTTCATGATTCTGCGCCACTTCAGGTATCGCCATCGCAGTTGGGGAACAACCAACCGGTTGATGACGACGACATATCCCTGAATTTGCAGTTTTCACAACACATACCTGTTGGTGATTTGTATGTATGTTCTAGCGTTCTGCCACGAATGCCGTTCTCCTATTGGCTAGATTATTCACTATCTAACCTGTTGTAGATAGTTAGTAGCTTAGCAGTGTGCTGTTGTTAACAAAATGGCGTCCTCTTCTTTGCGTTTTTGAAGTATCTGTGAAGTGTCTTGTCAACTCTCACGCGTGTTAATCATATGATGTGCACTGCTCCCCTTTATTGTTATTTTCTTTACGGCGCAATAGAGAGCAGAAACAATACCAGCGCTTCAAGGAACGTTTGCCATAAGCCTCACTAGTTTCCCGACATATGTTTTGTCCGCTATCCTCTGAGGGAAGTTTCTTTGTCACACTTAGGTGCACAACCAGATCGATTCAAGCTTTATTCTTGCGTGTGCGCCTGAAAACAGTGCCGCTGACCTGTTGGCGGAACGTTTGCTGGCTCACATCGATAAAGGCAAGATATTCAGGATGTATGCTGCATCCAGACCTTGGGACTTTGTGCCACAACCTCTCAAGGTAAAGTTCGAGTGCTGGAAGTGGAGTTTTTTACTCGACAGTAAATATTTTAGAAAACAGCCCTGCTGAAATAAAACGTGCACTGCACACTACGGTGGCGGATCCAGTGTTGTTCGAAAGGGTTGGGCTGAGTAAAGAATGGCCCTTTCTTGATCGAAAAAAGGGGAACGGTACGGAATACAGGTGGAGCCTGTTTTTGCCCCAGTAGGGGCAAATGCTACTCCACTTAGCTTAGGCTGGTTTTTATATAATCACTGGATTTGCTTGCTTTTAACTGTCATCGCTTTATGTATCATTTCTCATGTCATTTTATATAAGTAGACCGTGCAACGCAGAAAATTATTCAATAGGCCCTTTGCACAATCCGGTCACATGGTAGGGAATTAAATTATACTGGGACGCAAGTTACGCAGTGGGACTTCCAAAACAAAGGAACTAGTACCAGTCCAGCCCGACTTTCCTTTGTTTTGGAAGTCCCATTGCGTAACTTGCGTCCCAGCGTAATTAATTCCGTACCATGTGACCGGATCCTGCAAAGGGCCTATTTCTGTATGGTTTGTGTATGCTGGAAAATTTCCTACCCATCGGAGCTTAAAGTCAATTGAAAAGAAGGTTTCTAAGGTAACACGAGTGAAGGTATAAAAGAACCAAAGAATGGAAGTTGTGATATCAAGAACAAGTGCCGGACAAATCACCTACAGGGCTATGATTTCATCGTGTCACTCTGTCAATGTTTCCCTGGAGTATCTAAAAGGACCATCAAACAATGGTCATTTTCCATTGCCTTTGATAATGCATGGAGTCCATTGCCTTTGATAATGCATAATTGATTTATTTTTCATTTACAGGACGCGCGAGTAGTGAATTTTGATCCCGTGTGGCATGAAATATTCTACCCGTCCAAAGAGGACTTGATGAGCAAGTATCGTATAATTGTCACCACTCTGGTCACCGCAGGAAGGTAGGTACTAACATTATGACGTGTTTTCTAAAAATATACGAGGACGACTATTTATCAAATGAAAACAAATAAAACAGAACCAGCCGATTTCCTCTCACCCCCACCACCACTACCATCTCCCGAAGTGTGCTGTCATAATGCTTCACGCCGTCTTTTTTTGTACCAAGGTTGGTCTCGGCGAAGTTTCCTCGCAATCATTTCAGCCACATTTTCATAGACGAGGCAGGGCATGCAACAGAACCCGAGTGTATCATCCCTGTAGCGGATCTCCTGGACCCTAATCATCCAAGGGGCGGTCAGCTGGTACTCGCTGGAGACCCCAAGCAGTTGGGACCGATTCTCAGGTCACGAACCACACGGGAATATGGTCTCGGTGAGTATTTAAAACAAACTAAATCAGGATAAAACAGACAATCGAATCTTGACGTAGCTACTGAACGAATAAGCGTAAACCATACACTTTGAATCAGCGGTATATTTACTATTTCCAGGCATTTACAATGAATTACGTTGAGCTTAAACGCAGTTTTGAACAACTCACATGGTAGAGGAGAAAGGGAGTTCTGGCGACCTCCGGGAATAGCGACTGCAAGTGTTGCATTCAAAATGGTTTCCATCGTTTTCCGTACACTGCAAGAAAAGTAGAAACACAATTTCTGTTGTATTGAATATTTTAATCCGAAGTTTATTCTTATTAATAAGAACGCAGAAAATGGCCGTAATAGAGTCAAGCCACTTTTATTTTGATGGGTTACATGTCCCTGATTGCTTCAGTCGATTGGTCCTCAAACCGTCCTTGACCACACCTAGAGTGCTTTATGGCAGTAACCTACACAACAACTTCCTGTTTTCTATCTCTGGTCGTGAAAAAAGAAACCTATCATAGCTGTCTATGTTCTTTCCATAAACATCCACAGCGGTTTTGGCCACTCCGTGCGGACTGCTTTAACCGTCTTGACCTTTAGAGATCCCTACTTTGCAAACAACCCATGGTGGCAAGCTACAACAGATCACACTCAATACCAATGATTTTGTTTTACAGAAACATCACTTTTGGAACGACTGATGACGTCATGCAACACATACTCACGTGATCCCCGCGGGAGTTACGACTCTGATCTGCTGACGAAACTTGTGAACAACTATCGCTCACATAAGAACATCATTGAGATTCCCAATGAGCTGTTTTATGACAACGAATTGAAAGAATGTGCTGGAGATTTTAGGTGAGATTATTAAAATAAAATGCCTATAGTCTCAGTCAGGGAAAAGCTCTTTCCGTTAAACATGTCTGGTAGATTGACCGACTAAGTGAATGACTGGCGGACGGATGGACTGACCGACTAACGGACGGACGGACTGTGATTGATTGATGTAGTGTTATTAAATAACCCGTCAAACTTTTAACAATCGATATGGATGAATATGCAGTCTTACCCGGGCTCCAAAGCAAAGGTAGGCTCACTCGACTGTACTACATCCAAAATAAGAACTGGTGTCTTTTGAAAGTGGCAAGGAAAAAATGTCAAATAGTG